CTGACGAAAACACATGTTGTTTTAGTTTTTGAAAAAATGTATTTTTAATTTTTTTTTTTAACTTTAACTAGTTACAAGATTTTTATTTTTGAGAACACCGTCTAATTGATTTTAAGTCTTAAGCTGAAATGATTCTTAAATCTTATTATCTTGTGGATCAAGCCTCGGTCTCCAAAAGCTTTCGATCTTCTGAGTGAGTTATTTTTAATTGAGTGAACTTTCTATTTCGATTGAGTGAGCTTTGATTTTAATTGAGTGAAAGAGAGTTATTTGTCTTATCTTGTTTACAGGTTTAAAGGAGACGCAATTTGAATATGGCAAAAGTGTGGGAGCGTGCCGTTAGAATTTATCAGCGGCGCGACAATAAATGTTTAGTCTGGGATTTAACATTAACAATGGAAATTTCCCAGAGCCTTCTGAGTTTCCTTTTGATAGGGGTGACTCAAGACTAAGATCTAATGTGTGGAAAGAGTGTGTAGGCATATGCCTATCTTGTGTGGGTATATGCGTAGATGTGGAATCCCCCAACCTTTGAATTTGGCCTGTCCTCAGGGCGGTAGTTTTGGGTATAATATAATGTTTCCTTGTATGGGTGCGTTTAAAATATCATTAACAACTTCTATGGGTACATTTCTTTCATTAACAATTTCTGAATTATTCGGTGTCTTTGTTTTAGGTTTTACAAATTTAATTATTACTTTTTGGTATATTTTTAAACTTATAAATCAGATACAATATAATGCTAGTTACTGTTATAATAAATGTGATTAATGTTATTATTTGACATACATCATTATATAAAGTGTGTGTTTTTATTATTTCTTTTGTTTTAATATATGACAAAGGTTCTAGCTTTTTTACATTATTATCAACATACACGCTTTGTATGTAATCAAAAATTTTATTTGACAGTATAAATTCATCTATTTGTATTGAACAAGTAAGATTTTAATGATGTTATTCCCTTCTACTGATATTTCATTCTTAATGCAATTCTGGTTTAAAATTGTTTTTGGAATATTCAATGAAATTATATGTTTGGCTCAAAGTAATTTAGTTGAAAACCTTTATGGGTTATTTATACTTGCGTTCTGTAGTTTCTTGTCTTATAATTCCATTTATGCATGTAGGAATCAGAAACAAACCAGCGGAGCAAGAAGAGAGAAACACACGGAGTGGACGTCGGTTCTGACAACACAGACAGAGATCACTAATGTATCCGTTAGGGTAACAGATCAGGAAAGAAAAACTGTAATAAAGTCATTTGATGCCGAAATCTTACGCTAAGCAGTCCACAGAGATACACTCCACTTTGTAAACTCACTAAAGTTTAAAACACCATACAAGACTCAGTTTGTTAATTAAGTCAAATATACAATAATAAATAAAGCATCAAAATAATAAAACAACGTCGTCTTGGAAGTAATTCCCACTAACGGAACTCCCGGGGCCACAAATTTAGGGGTTCAGCCGGAATATGTGGAACTATTACAAACCTAAGTCACTAAACTTAGTTGAGAGTTAAAAAACCTAAACCACTAAACTTAGTCGGATGTTAAAAAGTGGAAAAAACTCTGTAAATTTTCGTAGCAGAGTGGAAACGAGACAGCAAGTTTTCGCAACATTCGAACAGTTGTGAAATTCGTTTTTGGCGCAACGACGGAACGAGGAAAGAAACCGACATAGAAGGCGATTGAACAGCGAGTACCATTCTGGAGGCAGCGTAAAGACTTTGTGGTGAACGTCAACAAGCAAGAGGCAGGATCGTTGGCGGTGGTCATCTGGACAAATTGGAAGGCGTGGGGCAGATACGGTAGCAAGCGGATCGCAGTAGTTGTGCGTCAGGAGTAGGCGAAAAAACGGGCTTCAGGAGGCTGGTTAAAGCGAAAGAAGAAAGGGACATTGTGCACGAGAAGGCATCGGCAGTCAGAGGCCAGAAATTTGGAAAAGTGTTTGGAAGTGACGGGAAAAACATTCTGGAGAAAAGTGGTGACGGGAAGAACATTCTGGAGGAGAAGTGGTGATGGGAAGACCATTCTGGAGCAGTATTGGTGACGCCCAGAATGTTTTTGAAGCAGTTTTGGTGATCCCGCCAATATTCTGAATCAGTGTTAGTGATGCAGCACATATTCTGAAGTAGTATTGGTGACGACGAGAACATTTTGATCGGAATTGGTGGCACGGCGAAAAGACATTTCCGGTGAGGCAGCGAGACGCATTCAAAGCATACAAATTCAAAACTGTATTGCTGGGCTGGCGAAAGAAAACGGTTGAAGAAATATTGGTGAGTGAAAGAGAAAACATAGAGAGGCAAGACAAATTTTTTTGCAAGTGACTGGCAGACGGCGCTATGCCATAAAATAGAACTGGAGAGCAGCACTGACAAATTTCGTTTTGGAGACCTCCTGTTGGTCTTCCCCGTCTTCCCCTTCTCATAGTGATGTGTAACTTCACACTAGCTTTTTCGCCTCTAAAGTTGAGCCCGCAATTTAAATAAGCAAACATTCACCAACATTCTTATATAATTTCAGTCAGAGGGACCCATTATCACAATCACTAGGAGAGTTGAACTAGCCGAGGCCTATTGTTTGTCCACTCGTTTCTACCCAAACTAGCCAATCTGTTTTAAAATTTGTATTAAAAATTTAAACGAGCGCGATCGGACGACTATATCATACAGCTCCCGTGGGAACCCTGTTTAAGGATAAGCTTTAAGTTACATAAATATAGATAAAGTAAACCAGCTCATGTGTTGTTGACTTATCCCACCATTCTAACTCCAATGTCTCTTAGTTGTTACTCTGCAACTTAGCTGCCCTTATCATTGGCCCGTCTATCAGAAGAAAAGTTTCCAATACCTTCACCTTGGCCAGGCGCTCCACAGCAACAATGCTGTGCGGACCGGCTAGGAACAGACCTCTGGCCCGTAACCGCTTTCAATCAGCTTATGGCCTGAATTAAAAAACAAAATTATATCTAATCGAATACTTATTGTCGTTCAATTAAACACAGTGGGGCCTTATTATACTTTATATTATACACCTATCTAGTTCTACTTTTACTTACTTTCTTTACTTACTTTTAATTTTAGTATAATTTATATAATTATATAATTTGGAAATGATATTCTAGTTTAAATTTGGTCATGATTGGGTGGGCTTACGCTGTGACAATAACACCAGCCCAGTGTAATTTAAACGGAAGATGTTCTTTAAAAAAAAATATTATACCCGTTACTCGTAGAGTAAAACAGTATATTGTTATCGGTCTAGCCATGTTAATCTGTAAGAACGTCGAGATCTAGGAAACTATAAAAGACTTAAGATTTAAAATTCTAGTATTTCCTACGCAACGCAAGTTTATTTGAAAATGGAGCCACGCCTACAAACACTAAATACGTCTTTCACGTCACTCTGATACATGTTAAAACTAAGTCGTTGTACTCTGTGTGTGTGTTTTGGTCATATCTATCGGTAGACATACAAATTTTAATAATCAAGCTACTATTTTAGAAGTATTGAAGTCCTCCATTCTGCCGCCATTCTTCCACCATCCTGCCGCTGCTCACCTATAATCGGTCGCTACCGGTGGTAGCAGATGAGAGAGAGAGAGAGAGAGAGAGAGAGAACGACAGAACTGTTAATGCGGATGGGGGTGCTGCGCGCTTCTAGCTTCTAATGCTGACGATAATGATAACTGCTGTTTTTTAATTTTTTTTTAGTTCTTCGACATATAGTAATGGTTAAATATTTCAGAATTACGGTTTAAAATTTATCAAAGTCAGACGATTATAGCTATAGCTGCCATAGGAACAATCGGAAAAATAAATGAAAAAAACTATAACTTAGTTCTTCGACATATAGTTATGGTTAAATATTTCAGAATTGGGGTTTAAATTTCATCAAAATCGGACGACTATAACAAAACGCTCCCATGGGAACAATAAAAATATTAAAAAAAATTTTTTTTTTTAATTTAATTTTGTTATTTTGTAATTTTTATTTTAGAATTTATTTTTAGTTATTTAATTATTTGACAGTTCAAAATTACGCTTTCAATTTTATTAAAATCGGAAAACGATATAATATAGCTGCCATAGGAACTCAAATATTATAATTGAGCTGCAAATCATCATAGCATAATTTTAATATAATTTCATAATTTTAATGTCTTCAAGAATATTTAATTTTTGCAATAGCTGCAAGGTATATAAACTTCGGCTTGCCGAAGTTTGCTTCCTTTTGTGTTTAATTTTTTTGTTTGAAACTTCTGAGCTGAGTAACGGAAAACTCGTTTTTAATTTAATTTTATATACAATTCTGCTTCAAGAAGTTTGCTTCCTTTCTTGTTGGTTTAGCTTAAAAGTCTTGCCAAAAGTAGTTTGTTAAAATAAAATTAGTACTGAAGTAAAGCAAAATTTTTTTTCTGTTAATATCATGGTAACAATATTGGCGTTATTTGACTATATTTCGAACCAAAACTTCTGATAAAAGCACCTAAATACTCTTTTTAAATGTTCTCATTCGGCACCCTCAGATAAAAAATGCCTGTGTAGGCAAAATACCTCGATGAAGCGGCCCGAATAGAAACATTTCAAATGTGTATTTTTCTAGTCGAATTCTTATTTATATTTGGTCACTAGCTTTGATATTATATATTTCATTGTCAAAACTTCCACATAGTTATAAATCTTAAATAACGACTATTTTTGATTCCTGGTTTTACATACTAAACATAAAATAACAAAATTAACAATCTGGGTCAATCGGAAATACCTTCTGGCCTTTTAATCGATGTTCGTATAAGCATGCAAATAGTCGGCTTAAGCAATTTATTAAAAACGGACGACTGAATCGAAAGCGGACATAGAAACAAACAGACCAATTATTAAGATTGCTGCCATAAATTTTAATGTGTATATTTCTTCTTTGAATTAAACAGAAATTTTACAAGAAACTTATTAACCGCGTTATACCAAATGTATTTATTTATCTTTCCAGGTACGTTCGTTGTATAAAACCAAATTTATCAAAACGACCAAATAGCTATAACCACTCACTAGTTCTTGATCAATTAAAATATCTTGGAGTTGTGGATATAATTCGAATAAGGAGAGAAGGATTTCCAATACATTTATGTCATGAAGACTTTGTTATTAAATATAAATGTCTGTTGAAAAATAGGTCTTTAGAAAATCTACATAAATATATAACCGATATATTGGAAACAATTGATTTGCCAAAAACAGAATGGCAAATTGGAAAAACAAAAATATTTTTGCGTGGTGTGGTATATGAACTATTAGAAGACAATAGAAAAACAAAAAATTATAATAGTGCCGTTATTATTCAAAAATATTGGAAACGATTTTATTGCTTTAAGTCCTTTTTGCGCATTAAATTGGCTGTTCTGAAAATACAATATGCATATAAAGGATGGAAATTAAGAATTCGTTTTATGAGAATGAGACGCAGTGCAATTGTCATACAAAGTCGTCTGCGCGGAGTTTTTGCTAGAGAGGTAAGAAACAGACTGTATTAAATTAATTTATCGTTTTTTATATTATTGATTATTTCAAATACATTGCTATATCACCAAGTTTGATACCGTTTAAATCCTTTGGACCTGTTAGACCTTTTAAATAAGAGCAACCAATTATATATTTTGATTGCCAAATAGTTGGGAAAAATATTAAACCAATTTTAACTTCGAAATGGAAAGAAAATACATGAGCGGTAATCTGAGGGCCTAGTTACGCTTCAGTTACTTCAGTGCGGCACTGCGTGTGTCGCAAGATGATGTTTTACATAGATTTGTGTGGGCAGATAGAGATGCGGAAAAAGTGCATCTTGCTTAAAAATTTTTATTTGTACCGATGTTTACTCTAGATATTTACTCGATATTTGGCATATCGATATACTATCGTGCGGAACACGTACAGCTATTCGTAAACAAAAAATTCCGCATGGACAAAGGAAGAAGTAAAATTTAAATTAAGAACCGAATATTATTTAATATAATCGCAATGCAGATAAGTGATTTGTGTGGAGCAACCTTGCTGAAAATTTAATATTAGTTTGTATTAAGTTGTGTGACTGCAGTAGGATTCGGCTGATTTATTTGGATTGATTTTGATTTGGACCACTTGGACCGCTGCTGGAGGCTGGAGATGAACTCCTGGGACCATCAATGCTAAAACCTGTGCCTGAGAGACGAGACACCTCGCCATCGTCGCAAGCAAGTCAGGTTCATCTGCTCCGGGACCGCCGCTGATGGTGGGGCCAGAAGAGGGCCGCCGATGAGCCGATGACCGGGGGTCAGGGCTGCGCTGTCGTTTGGGTCGCTGCTTAGAGCTCCGAGGGGCCTGGAGTTGAGCACGGCCTCCACCCTGGTTAGGAGAGTTCCGAGCTCCTCGGCTGTCAAGAGGTCTTGGCCTACCGTCCGAAGGAACAGGTGCTTTGCAGACTTCACATCTGCCTCCCATAGTCCACCGAAGTTCGGTGCTCTGGGCGGTATGAACGCAAACTCGCATCCTTTTATTTGATGCGAATGTTTCGATACCGCCCCCCGCTCCTCCGGACGGGCTCGGAATTCCCTCATGTCCCGCTCTGCGCCGACGAAGTTGGTGGCGTTGTCGCACCACACCTTCTCCGGAATTGAAATGCCAACAAGAACGCATCAGTGGCTAGGTCAGACCACTTTAGACGCAAACAGACGAACAAGCCCACGTACGACTTGTACGGTGGTTTACCGCGGATACGATACGTTGTGCTGAAGGGACCACAAAAATCGACGCCAAAAATATTGAACGGGCAAGGAACTCGAAGTCTATTTGCTGCCAAGTTCCCCATAATTTTCGTCAAGAGTTGCGGCTTGCAGCTAAAGCAGCGCATGCACGACCGAGCTATTCGTCGACAGACTTCTTGAGCATTAACAAGCCATATTTTCTCACGCAGACAACTTACGAGAGCTTTTGGGCCAGCGTGACAATTCGTAACGTGCAGCTATGACACATAGGACCTGACGAACTGTGAGCTTTTAAACAGCAACAACAGGATTTTGGCTTCGTACAGGATAGGAGCATTCAATAACCGACCCTCAGCACGTAACAATGTCGAGGAACTCCAATCTAATTTATTTTCCTGAAGAAAAGGGTTTAGCTTTTAAATATTCGTTGCTACCGGTTTATTTTTCCGATATTTCCTATATCGTCCCTGGATTCGTAATTTGGATAATTTCAACAATTTTCTCAAAAGCGAAATCCAGTTCTCTTGGCGAAATACTTTTTTCAAAGGGCTTCGATACCTTTCTGCACCTTTGAATAAAACGGAAAACCCACACGAACAATCTCAGAAGCTTCAGGTGCAACGGAAAGGATTCTATTTTCTGAAGCAAATAATTTGGCTCTGGGCTGACTACGAGAGCTGGTGCCGGCAGTTCGAAATGTGTATTTACAGGCCAATTATTTTCTGAGTCTAGCAAGAACGGAGGCCCACAGAAGCAAATGGACGTTGTAAGCTGACTTTCGTGGGAACGTGTCTCAAAATTGCTTTCTCCGACCACACCTAAATTTCTGCAACGCGGTTCGAAACAAAAACCGACAACGACGAGGAATGGGTTTTGATCCAGTGTAAAGTGATCTTGGAGTCTGTCCACAGAAAAACATTCTCAATGGGTCAATTTAACAATGGCCTGACATGATTATAGAGATCTGCTAAAAGGTGAGCTGTACACAGCTCCAGGCGAAGCATCAGCGAAACCATGTATTTGAATCGGGACTTGTCGATCTGTGTTGACGAATTGCGTTACCTTAATTTTCGGCAGCTGCAGAAGCGTCGCTTTAAACGTCTCCCACGATGTCAGCAATTATATCGGTAGCGACTCGTCCCAATATAATTATGTAGCCACAGTTCCTGCAACAATATCTTTGCCTTTGTGACCAAAGGAAACAAGAGGCCAAGTGGGTCGAAAATTCGAGCAGTCGAGCCGTCACCGACAATTTATTTCGCTTTGTCGCGCGAAGGTCCAGGAAAGAGTCATCCAACTGAAATTGAAAGTAATCTTTAACCGGTAACCAAACCACGCAAAGGGTCTAGGTTACGTCTGAGTCTGCCATAAGGGGCATTACAGCGCTATCAGATGCGGATAGCTCTGGGCAGTTTGAAAACCACTTTGCCAATTCAAAGCCTGCCTCTTGCAAGATCTGAAAAACTTCGTCTCGAAGACTTTGCAGGTCCTCAACGCATCCAGGTCCTCAACGCGCCAGTCAACAAATCATCAACATAAATCAACAATCATTCTGAATAACCTTTGAGGCTTTTGGATGATTTGCTTGCGCCATCTCTCATAGCCGCATTAAACACCGAATCGCCAAAAAGGGTGCTGGCGAAGTTCCATATGTAACGGTGTTCAACTTATAGATTTTCAGGGACTCAGAAGGATCTCGTCTCCATACTATGAGCTGGAAGTTACGATCAGCTTCGTCCACCATCACTTGGCGATACATCTTTTTGACGTCGGCCGCAGGGGCAAACTTATGCATTCTAAACCAAAGCAGAGTCGAGTACAGCTCCTCTTGGATAGTTGGGCCTAGCATCAAGAGTCAGATTTGAACGGCAAGCGAACCGAAAATCTACCGGACGACAATCTTTGAGTATTTTTCTCAAAGTGTTGTTGACAGAGTTTTTGCTCAGGAGTATGGACTTTAGCCTTGGGCGGAAAGTCCTCCACAGACCAAAATTTCTGCAGGGTTGTGTCAATTGACTCCAACGCTTCCTCCTGGCAGCTGAGATGTACCATTTTTTCAGCGTTTTTATTATTTTCAGAGGCACATCTCCCTGACACTATCCAGCCGAGAACTGTCTTTTGTAAGATGGGTAATTCAGGCCCCTGCATATCTATTTTTGGGACTTGAAGAAGAATGGATCAGCCAACTGAATATTTTCAGGCACCCTCCACCCGCTGGTGTTTACCGCTTGATCCAGATGATAACCAGAAATATTTTTCATAATCCAAAAATTGTACGACAAGTGGCTGTTTGCTACTCGCGACTTCACAATCGTGTGTATTTTTTTGTGGCTTGGGCATTAGTTCCACCAATGCCTCGCAAGCTCATGTACACGTCCTTTCTTTTAATTTTCTGAGCGAGCTCATCGGTCAAAAAGTTTATTTGTGAACCACATAAGGGTGCTCTTTTAGCGAAATGGAATCTTTGTTGAACTGTTAGGGCTGCGAAGGAAGCGCAGTTTCCAATCTGATGTTCAGCTGAGTTGCAATACACGCATTGAACAGAGTCGTTCCTGGCAGCGACAAACGAAAAACTCCTATTTCCATTCTTCTAAGGGTTAGATTGGGTTTGCTGAACAGTTTTGGGCTTGGAAGCCTCTTCTGCTACCATGTGTTGGTATCGCCTATTGAGGGCCGCCTCACATTCGCTCCAAAGTGGAAGCGAAGTATAATCTAACTGTTCTTCCCATTTTCTTTCAGTTCCTGCATCGACCTTGTAAGGATGCTCTCTGGCCGGGCTACAGATCTCAGTCAGATCCAGGAGTCCTTTACAAGAAATTTGTAAATCACCGAAACACCGGACTAGAGAGTCTCTTTCAACGAGTGAATGAGTCGTTTGGGGGAGTCACGTCGTAGGTTCTCATGGACGCCGGGAGAGAGAGAGTAATGTCAGAGTTGGTCACGACGTATCTTGCTCCTGGGTTAAATATTCCACGGGCTGGACCTTGGGGCGAGGCCAAGCCAGACGAACGGTTTCACGAGTGTGGGAACGCCGGGTGATCCCACTGGTCACTTCCGCGATTGGGACACGTAAGTCGTTTTCCGCGTGCCGTAGGCCAAAAATCCACCGGGCTGGACTTTCGGGCGAGGCCAAGCCAGGATACTATTTCGCGAGAGTAGGATCGGGGGGTGGCGTCGCGCGCAAGTCGTTTTCGACGTAACGGATGCCAAAAATCCACCGAGCTGGACCTTCGGGCGAAGCCAAGCCGGGTAGGGACTGGAGGGAAATGGATGGCGGTATGATTGACCAGTCGGGAATGATGTCCACGCGCAGATCACATGCACTACGAAGAGAAAAGCTATTGTACTAGACCAGACGGGCCGGGTGTCCGCGTGCCGGTCGCATGCGCTACGAGGAGGAAAGCTAGGGTACTAGACCAGACGGGCCGGGTGTCCGCGTGCCGGTCGCATGCGCTACGAGGAGGGAAGCTAGGGTACTAGACCAGACGGGCCGGGTGTCCGCGTGCCGGTCGCATGCGCTACGAGGAGGAAAGCTAGGGTACTAGACCAGACGGGCCGGGTGTCCGCGTGCCGGTCGCATGCGCTACGAGGAGGGAAGCTAGGGTACTAGACCAGACGAGCCGGGTGTCCGCGTGCCGGTCGCATGCGCTACGAGGAGGAGAGCTAGGGTACTAGACCAGAGGGGACGGATGTCCCCGTACAGGCCACATGCACTACGAGGAGGGTAATCTAAGACACTAGGCCGAACGGGACGGGTGTCCACGTCGGGTCTA